AAAGAAAGAAAGAAAGAAAGAAAGAAAGAAAGAAAGAAAGAAAGAAAGAAAGAAAGAAAGAAAGAAAGAAGAAAGAGAGAAGAGAGAAAGAAAGAAAGAAGGAAGGAAGGAAGGAAGGAAAGAGAGAAAGAAAGACAGGCACAATGCTAAAGACCCAGACAGCACCTTACTCGTTGAGCAAAAGTACAGGGCCAGGGTTGTAACTGATTAATCTTATACCCTTTGTAATTTCTTGGGGCAAGATATTTTTTAGTTCTTCTAGTGATTTGCAATAGCAATAAAGTATATACTTTTGTAAATTTATCTTTGGTGATGGCAAGACAAAGAGAAGATCCTAAAGAGCCAGTTTCCTGTAAGGAGCTGTGGTAGCTTAGTCCATCACATTTTAAGCTGCTAGCCAAGAGCTGGGTTCCTACTTAGCAGTGAAGCTTTAGGGTAAACAGATTCCAACAGGGAGAATGGGTAGAAATATAAACAACTCCAGGAAGCAGTATGCTAATGAATAGGGAGTGACCAAAGGCCTCAGATTTCTATCAATGTGGTACCTTTTTGTTTGTCAAAACATATTGTCTGGAAGATGTCCTTGTTTTGTGTGAAGGTCTGGGAATGTTTGATCTACCAGTCAACATCTCTGGACAGATTAGAGATAATGCGATTACCCCTGCAGGCATGTTCCTAAAACATATATACACCCTTGCCAGAATGTTTGTTGTTGTTGTTATGTGCTGTCCTTGAGTCGTTTGTGACACATAGCGACCCTATGTACAACAGCCCTAAACCCTGCTCTATCCTGTGCTAATCCCATTGCCTCTGACACACCCATCCCGATTACCCCAGTCACTGAATCAATCCATCTCATAGAGGGTCTTCCCCTCCTGCGCTGTCCCTCTACTCTACCCAGCATGATGTCCAAAGACCTGTCTCTCCTTGCAACATGTCCAAAGTATGTCAGACAAAGCCCCAGAATCTTTGCCTCCAAGGAGTAGCCTGGTTTAACCCTCTCTAGGATTGATCTGTTTGTTTTCTTTGCAGTCCATGGTACATTCAGTACTCTTCTCCAGCACCACAGCTCAAAGGCGTCAATTCTCCTTCTACCCTCCCTAGTCATTGTCCAGCTCTCTGGTGCATAACAAGTGATTGCAAAGACCATGGCCTGTATCAGGCGCACCTTCATCTCCAAAGAGACACTGTTGCTCTTGAGTACTTTGGAGAGGTCCCTAACAGCAGACTTTCCCATTGCAATACGTTTTTTGATTTCCTGGCTGCTGGTACCAAGAGTGTTGACTGTGGAGCCAAGCAAACTGAAGCTGTGAACAATCTCAATCTCTTCGCCATCCATCCTGATGCTGCCAGTTGGTCCAGTGGTGAGAATCTTTGTCTTCTTGACATTGAGCCTTAGTCCATACTGAAGGCTGCAGTCCTTGACCCTTTGCAGTAAGTGCATGAGGTCCTCCTCAGTTTCAGCAAGCAGGGTTGTGTCATCTGCATAACGGAGATTGTTAATAGATCTTCCACCAATCCTAATGCCACGCGTCTCCTCATAGAGCCCAGCCTCTCGGATAATCTACTCTGCATACAGGTTGAAAGGGTATGGGGATAGGACACATCCCTGACGTACACCCTTCCTCATTTTGAACCATTCAGTGTTGCCCTGCTCTGTTCTGACGACTGCCTCCTGGTCCAAGTATAAGTTTCTCTATGCCAGAATAACAAAGATTGCTATTTGTCATCAGCAATTAGCCTCTCCGCATCTTCATTTCAACCTGGTGCCTCCTTTTGGCG